TTGAATTTGTAGTCATGCCGTTTGGTCTTAAAAACGCTACGCAAACCTTTCAAAGATATATGGATTCATTGTTCAGGAAAATGCCATTTGTCTTCTGCTACCTTGACGATATTTTAATATTCTCAGAAAGTGAACAGCAGAATTTGGAACATGTAGAAGCAGTACTAAAAATACTAAATATGGCCAAGCTTGTCATAAACACCGCTAAGTGCGAGTTCGGAGTTTCACAACTAAGTTTTTTAGGGTATGATGTATTAGTCGATGGTATCAGCCCGCCTGCAGAACGAGTGAGAGTAATTAATAAATACAAGAAGCCAAAGACAATAAAAGAAATTCGTCGTTTTTTTGGGAATCCTAAATTATTACCGCAAGTGCATTCCACAGGCCGCTAAATTGCAAGCACCCTTAAATGAGCTATTAAAAAATTCAAAAAAGAACGATAACACGCCTATAACATGAACTGCTACGTTGTATACAGCGTTTGAAAACTGTAAAACAAGCGTAACCGCGTTACCTAAATTAACATTTTTGTCGCTATTAAGTGCAATTCTATTGACATCGGATGTATCAAGCCACGCAGTTGGTGCAGTACTGGAACAGCAAGAAGGTGATGTTTGGCGACCGGTTGCGTTTTTCTCTTCGAAGCTCAAGGCATCGCAGAAGAATTACAGCACGTACGACAGACAGTTGCTAGCTATATATTTAGCCATCAAAAATTTTAGCCATTTACTGGAAGGTAGAAATTTTACAATTCAAACAGATCACAAACCGCTCATTTATGCATTCCAACAAAAGTCAGATAAAGTTTCACCACGTCAACTACGACAACTGAGTTTTATTGCAGAGTTTACAACAAACATATCATACATAGATGGTAATGACAATATAGTGGCTGATAGTTTATCCAGAATTGATGCAATTAATATGCCTACGGTTATAGATCTCGAGATGATTAGCGAACATCAGAAAATAGATGAAGAGCTTAAGCAGCTATTAAATTCAGATTCAGCACTTCAATTACAAAACCTTTTTTTACAACCCGATATGTCAACCTTTTGTGATGTATCAACAGGAATCATCAGACCATATATTTCATCATCACTTCGAAAGAAAACATTTGACATAGTACACTCCTTAGCACATGCTGGCACTAAGTCAACGACAAAACAACTATGCAGCAAGTACGTGTGGCCGTCATCCGAAAAGATGTAGCGAATTGGGTACGAATTGGACTAAAGTTGTCAACAAGCAAAAATAAACAGGCATCAGCGATTCGATCATGTACATTTGGACTTAATAATACTTCCCGAATGTGACGGTTACAGATATGCGCTAACCATGATGGACAGATTCACACGATGGCCAGAAGCCGTTCCGTTGAAAGATATCACCGCCGATACAGTGGCAGAAAATTTTTACGCACACTGGATATCGCGATTTGATTCCCCGAAAATCATAACAACTGATCAAGGAACCCGGTTCGAGAAGGCATAGAGAATTGAGACGAATTATTACCATACTATGTATGCAGTTACAATTCCATTCCACACACAACAACAAAACACACGCCATACGAATTAGTATATGATACACTATACCAGTTACCTAGGTTAGGTTAGGTTAGGTTACTGGGGCCGTCCGAAGACTCACTTAGACCATGAGGTCCATTGTGATACCCTAAGAATTTGACACCTGTCCCTATAACCACTTGGTATTGGCTACAAAGCCATTGGCACGAACTATGGAAATAGAATCTAGCTCTCTTAATGAATAGAAAAAGTGCGACCCTAAGTAGGATAGTCTATGTCTTGCGAAGGCAGGACACTGTAACAGAAGGTGTGTTGGTGATTCCTCTTCATCATCCTCCATGCAATGTCTACAATGTAAGGAGGTCCTGATGTTGAGCCTCACGGCATGTCCTCCCAACGGGCAGTGTCCCGTAATAATTCCCACTATCCTGGATAAATTTGCTCGGGATAGATTGATTAATTCCCCCGATCTTTTCTTACTTATTTTTGGCCAAAATTTCTTGATTTTTATGCAGTTGGTTACTGTTGACCATCTTCTTTCAAACATTTATTCCTAGAAGGAATAAATAATTCAAGATTTCTGTCCACAATTGTAATTGTAGTACAGTAGTCTGTTATATCCGGAATGAAATCAATTTCTCTGAGGATGGAATCTTGCATCCATCCACAACTGCTTCCAATTCCTAGTTCTCTTATCCGTAAAGCTATCCGCGATGTCGATAGGTAAGATATTGAAGATAACATTCAGGGCAAGTGACGGCGTTGATTTTAACGCTCCGCTTAATGTCATCAGTGCAGTCCTTTGAACCTTTTCCAATTTCTTGCATAGTGTTGACCTATTCAGAGTATTTCTCCAAAATAACACTCCATACAAGAGAATTGGTTTTACCACCACATTATATATCCATAAAATGGACTTCGGTGAGAGTCCCCATCTTTTGCCTATAGCGCCTCTACAACAGTAAAAGGCAACCATAGCTTTTTGGGTACGTGCAACAACATTTGGTCCCCAATTCAGTTTTCTGTCAATTATAAGACCTAAATATTTGGCTTTATCATTCAGAGTCAGAGTTTGACCTCCTAGGATAGGTAGTGTGAATTCCGGAATTTTATATTTCCTAGAAAAGAGCACTAGTTCTGTTTTGGTTGGATTTATTGATAATCCGCTACAATGGGCCCATTGGGATACTTTATTTAGATTACCCTGCATTACCTCACTAATTGTACTCAGAAATTTTCCCCTTGCAATCAAGGAAAGATCATCCGCGTACGCGACCACCTGACAACCTGCGCTATCTAGATCAACAAGAAGATCATTAACTGCAGTTAGCCATAAGAGGGGGGAAAGTACTCCTCCTTGTGGAGTCCCCCTATTAACTTTCTTAGTTACTAGCGTTTCCCCCCACTGCACTACGATTGTCCTATCAACCAGCAGTTGGGTAATGACTTCGATTACTCTATTGTCAATTCCTAGTTTTCTTAATGAGTTGACGATTACTTGAGGAAGGATGTTGTTGAAAGCCCCTTCCACATCAAGAAAAGCGCAAAGGGCGTATTCTTTATGCTGTATTGAGTTTTCAATCATCCCAGTTAGAGATGATAATGCGGTCTCTACAGACCTTCCTTTACAGTACGCATGTTGTGATTTTGAAAGCCTTTCATCTGGTATCTCTTTCCTAATGAAATGCTCCAAAAGCCTTTCTAAAGTTTTTAAGAGGAAAGAGGATAGACTAATCGGTCTAAAATCTTTAGGCGTAATATGGGAGCTTTTGCCAGCTTTAGGAATAAAAACGACCTTTGTCAATTTCCATTTCTCTGGTATATGCCCTAAGGAAAGACAACCTTTAAAGATTGGTGTGAGCCAGTTGCAAGAGATGTCCCTTGCTTCATGAAGTTGGGCTGGTATAATTCCATCCAGGCCCGGTGATTTGTATGGTAGAAAGCTATCTATAGCCCATTTAATTTTCCTTCTGGTGACAATATTATTCACCACAGATGAGTCACATGTAGACCCCTGGTTTATTCCAAGGTTATTTGGTATGTCACTATCTGGGAAATGTATATTCAGTAACAATGCCGCCGATTCTTCGCTGCTATGTGTCCACCCATTGACCTCGTCTTTTAAGTAGACTAGATTAGAGGGTTTCTTCGAGAGAATGCGCTCTAAACCTTGCTGTTCCTTGACAACCCTCCACGCTTTCACAGAAGGCTTTCCAGGAGCGTGTTCTGGCTTTTTTTATTTCATTTTTATATATTTTTAGACTGACTTTGTAGATGTCCCAGTCAGTGTTAAGATTACTTCTCTTGGCCTTGTTAAACAAGTTTCTGCTTGATTTCCTAAGATCTCTTATTTCCTCGGACCACCACAATGGCTTTTTCTTTCCCCTCTGTGATTTTAGCGGGCAAGAACGGTCCAAGGCTATGTTGCAAGCTTTTGTGAAGGTTTCCACAACGTTATCTAGCGATTGAGGAGTCTCTACTTCTTCAATAGGATATAGAGGAAGTAGATTTAGTAAATTGGTTCGATATCTACTCCAGTTGGTATTATGGTAATTCCGATAAGGTTTCTCAACTGGACATTGTAGATTTATATAGAATTGAATATAACGATGGTCAGAGAATGAGTGTTCATCAAGAACTCTCCAATCCTTAATCTCAAGATCTGTGTTTTCAATAGTTAACGTAACATCTAAAACTTCTTTTCTGCCTGCAATAATAAAAGTAGGTTCTACTCCTGTATTGCATATATGAAGATTATAATCTAGAATAAAATCGAATAACGACTCACCTCTTTCATTTATGTCCGAGCTTCCCCAGATTGTGTGATGAGCATTTGCATCGGCTCCAATCACAACACCAGTCATTCTTTCTGCTGCTGTTATCACGAGCTGCTTAAGTATTTCCGGTGGTGGATTTCCTATATGGTCGTGGGCCATGTATGATGACACCACCCATACGGTTTTGCCGTCGATTTCCAAACTCACTGCAGTCTGGTCGTCATCACTAAAATTATTCAAAAGGAAACAATTAATGTACTTTTTAACTAACACACATGATCTAGGTCTACCTGAGTCTGTGTTGCTGATAAGTTTATAGTCATTTGTTCCGATTCCACAGATCCGATTTTCCAGTATCCATGGTTCCTGAATCAGAACAATATCGGCTCCACCCTGTGCAAGGTGGATTAGAAGGTTTGCTGAAGCAGCTTTAGAGTGGTGGAGATTAATTTGAAGCACCTTCATCAGGTACTTGAACCTCTACCACCGTTTTATCGGCTTCGTCATCCGAGTCCAGGAGCCCACTCTCATCGAATAGGTTGCCCAGACTGGTCACCGACCCCGCATCCAATTTGTCTTCAGACATCAGAGAGAGCGAGTCCACCTCCATTTGATCTGGCAGGTCTTCACTCTGTGTTTCCTCACAACTCTGCTGTCTTAGCATTGGTCCTTTAGCTGGTTCCTCCAGCAAGGGCTAATCAGACGTAATCTTCTCCGATTCTTCCGTGGCATCGGTACGATAGACCTTGAGATTTAGTTTCTCAAAGCCATAGGAGATTACGTATTTAGCTTCGGAGAGCGGTTTCAATGACTCCGCATTTAATACAAGGACAGCTTGTCTGGTCGGTCCAGAGGAGCCTTCTAATTTTACCACCTTCCAATTTCCAGTTGGAAGGTTGGGGTTGCAGATCCTGATTATTTTCAGAATTTGCTCCGGGTCAGTTTGTTTAGTTGGAATCCAAACCCTGGCCCTAGGACGAGATGGAATATCCTTCTTGTCTACCGCTTCAAGTCTGGCTCCAGGCCAGATCTCTCCTACTTTAGAGACAGCTGCCTTGTACAAGGCAACCGATCTCGCATCCTTGCAAGCTACCAATTTCACTTGTCCTTGGTGCCAACCCGCGTCTTCGCAGGAGGGAGCAGGTCCTGGGTTTTCTTCCAAAACTTGGAGGAAGATGTCTGCCAGCGCGGCCGACACCCATTTCCATTTGTCTTTGGGGATTCTCCCCTCCTCGGCACTCCTATCCAGGACACCTATAATGAGATTGTCCTTCGCAACCTCACTGTACGGTCGTACCAGTACATTGTAACCTCTTGGTTTTTTCGTAAGAGGGGGTTCTTCCTCCTGAGACCTTTGTCTTTTAGACACTTGGTCCGGTTTGGAAGCCTCTTTGTTGCTTGATTTGGCCAAGATGCTTTTGGCCCATTCAAGGGATGAGGCCTGTTGCTGACTGATTTTATCGGCCGGGATCTCACCTACGCGCTGCAGAATTCGTGTAGCCATACGGCGGTCGTTATGGGCCTTTTTAGAGGGTGGAATTCTCCTTGTGGATTTGGTTTCTGACTTGTCACTGCTTTTGGCCGTGACAGAAGAGGCAACATACCGACTGGTAGATGCAGTATTTCTGCTTCCAGAAGGTATTTGCGACGAGATTTTAAGTTCATTGGAAGTGGAGTTGGAGGTACCACTCGAGGTTTGCAGTCTTCTGCTTGGTGTTGCTACTGGTCTTCCAGTAGCAGAAAGTTTTGTTTGTTTTTTATTAAAATTTAAATTTTCCATATTGATGGGTCCCAACTCAGGTCCGCTATCTCCACCCGACGTGTAGTTATCTTTTAAAAAGCCCCATGGGTCCCTTTGAATCAGTGAGGTCCATGTGAAGGTTGATGTATAGCCTTATGAGCATATACATTCAGAGCCAGGCAGATATTAAGAGGGAGCTTCGCTCAACCTCACCTACACCACCAACTAAACGGCGACGGGTATTGAGCGCTTCCTGAGGTCAGCCACGATTTTAATGGGACGGAGGCATCCTCAACATTAGCCAGTTACCTAAATTCGTGGCAAATTTATCTCATTTCTTATGACATTTAATTCATGTGGTATACTGATACCATCAAAACATGATTCTGCTCTTACTAATCCCTCTGAAAATATTTTTGCTTTAGTGATTCCGTTTATCTGGCAACTTTTTTTGAATCTAACCAAAGAATACCTTACAAGAACGGCAACTCCATTGTGAACTAAAATGTATTTTTTCGTACAACAACAATTTGCAGTGGAGCTCTTGAAAGTGTTAGCGAAAAGTGCACTAATACCAGCTGAATTCACTGAAATTTTTCACCTTTTCACCTTTTTCCGATACTTTAAGTACTTTTGAGAACGAAATATTTCGAAAAGTTTACCATGGTAAGTGCAAGAAACAGTGTGCTTTTGTTTTTGATTTTATGAGAGAAATAATAATAGGCCTTTTCGGTGGCTCGCAAGTACGGCAACAAATGCATGTTGACCTATGTTGGCCACGCGAGTCATTGGCATCACTGTTGCAATCTGTCAAATGTTTTGTTTTGACAAACAGCAAATCTTGTATATGTGCATATAAATCAAATATATTTTTATAAAAATATTATAAAATTAAAATGAACACGGAATTAAAAGGAATGGTAAGAATATTGGAAATTTAAAAATAAAACACTAAGATAAGTAAATTTTTGTAGGTACTGTCGATGCTGGGAGAAGAAAGCAACGTTTTGCAGCGGCCGAGGGATGCAAGTTGTTTTACGGATTTTTTAAATGTTATTAATGCCGCAACAGCCTCCTCTGAAGATTCGAGCAA